TTTTATGAAATCCTTCCTGTAAATATATGTATTGGATCACATTCAGAGGTGATGTTTTAAGTCGATAAGAAAATCTTAGGGGCTCTAAGTGAATCCCTTTTGAAATTTGCTAGTAGGTATAAATTACATTGGGAACGGAGGGAAAGTGGATTCATTAGTTGTTTTACCCATAACACAGCAATTTCCCTTTTTTACTGCCTTGTACACTGCTTCTGAATGTGATACAATGACTTTTTGGCCATTTTTCTAGCTTTGAGTCTTATGGTCCATTTAAAATAATGTCATTAACTAGGACTTGCCAGGTCTTGTCACTGATGGGTCACTGGAAGCCACCAAATTTACAAAGCCATGTCTGGTGGAGAAACTTTTAAAATTTCAGGTTCTTGTGCTGCCCTTTTCACCCCCTCCTTCCGTGGTATCCTGCTTTTCCTTTCTCAAACCATTTTATCAACTGGCAGCTTCAGAGGTCAGACTGGGTTTTATCAGGTTTTCTTTGGTTGTTGCTTGCACATACAGAAGAACACAAGGGAGTCAGTGGAAAGAAGAGGAAAGTCAATAAAGAAGAGTGGGTGGAGAGATGACATGGAAAAGGAGGGGAACATAGCAGGGGGGAAGCTGGGAAGACAGCAGGCAAAAATGGAGAGAAAGGCTCCATAAAGCACAGAAATGGAAGGCGATATTTGTCAAAAATAGTGGGAACATGTAAAGTAAGCTTGTTCCTTAATGCAAGACAAATTAGTAAATCACAGAGGACATGGGGGGGGGGTTGTTTATTTTGGGGGGGAGTTATTTTTAGTTAGCAGCCCCTTTATTTTTCCAGGGAGTAATGATCTTTTTGCATGATAGTTTGGATTAAAACAGCAATCTGTCTGGTAAATTCCACATTATATTTTATTTCCAGTTAATTCTTCAGGATTTTTCTCCCTGTGAGGTATATTTAATACATGGACTGTTATCAAACAGGAATGTGTTGTATGTAATTGCATGTGATATGACTGTAAAAGTTTTAAATATTTTGTCTTGACGTTTTCCCACTCTGATCATAGCACCCACCTTTGAAGGACCTTTGGCTTTCAATGGATAGCTATTTTAAGTGCAGACTCTAGGCCAGAAATTAAGGGGAAAATGAGACTTTTTAATTACAAAAGATCAATCTTCTATCTTTTTCTAATAGATAAAAATTACAACACTCTTGTTAGATAAGTCTGTTGTTGGCTTTTTGTTGACTGCTTCTGCAGAGGCATCGGTACCAGTGTCCACTTGTGAACAACATTATCAAATTAGAGTTATATTAGGCTGGAAACTCAAGGAGAAAACAAAGATGATGAGGCAGGTGAGAGCATCCTGGAGAAAAATGACTCTTATTATTTGAAGTCAACACTTAAAATCCAGCTCAGGCCAATAGTACCTAGCTAATGCCTGTTTAATTAGCTTTGTGAAAGGATTTGGTGGGCTTGTTCCAGTACTTGGCTGACCTTCTTGTTCGTGGACTCCACAGAAAAAGAGTCCACAGCAAAGGGCTGGTCCTTGGCAAGGACCTTGGCAAGACAATGTGAGGAAGTGTAAATGTAGCTGCCCATATCCTGTAGCTAGATGACCTTCAGATGCCAGGACTGTTGCATGTTGCCTTTCCCAAGCACAACATTCACAGAAAAATAAAGAACTTTAAATAAAATCCAGTTGCAATCCCTCTTTTTAAAATGGCAAATTTCGTTTTAAAATTTTTAATTAAGTAAAAATCAGAGGTTTCAAAGTTGTAGAGTCATGGAAAAGCAAGAGAGGAAGGGTGTGAGAGTAACTGAAAGAGACTATTTCAACTTTAAAAGTGTTACTAAATGTTACTGATATTTACATCTCTTTCTCATATATACTGTAATTTAAGAAACCATCATGTGGTTTACCACAGGTTATTTTAAAGCACAAAGGCAGTAAAATAAGGCTAACATGTTCTAAACTGGACACTCTTAAAAATGAATGTTAACAACCCACAATTGTTAAATTTATCGTATTTTTAGAATTGGGGTAATTATAGTAAAGGTGAGTGCCACAGTGCAGTAAATCTAATTTTTAATGTCAATCATTTTACTCTTTTTAAAAAAAAAATCTGTTGCAACTATAGAAGACTTTTTTAACATGTCTGTTTCAATAGGCACATTGCTTTTTTGAAAGTATGAACAGTGTCTGAAGTGTTTAGAATAAAAGACTAGGATGTCATTTCTCTTTTCTGGCCTGTAGTTTATAAAACAATTGTACCATATACTAAGTGTAATGCAGTCTGAGTCTATTTTGTGTTTTTTGTCTGTGGACAATTGTTAAAGCATTAATTCTGCCATTAAGGACTTCTCTAAATATTTCCATTGTGTCATTATGATTGTTCTGTGATAGCAGCAAGAAGGTACCGTAAACACTTTGCTGGGAAAAAATCTCCTCCTCTCAGTCATCCAGCATCGTGGGAGGGGATGTTGACTAGACGGGAGGGGATGTGACAAAGAGTCTGGAAAGGGGAGATTTGAGAGAGCAGCTTGGTAAGATAGGAGCTGACCCCTCTCCCTCTTGGGTCCTCCATCTTCCCTTTGGCTGGAGCTTAGGGGATTGAGCAGGTTGCGTGACTCCCCTGTCTCTCCTCTCCATTCCACTTAGTATTTGCCCCTTTTGCCCCGTTAGCTACCAACCCTCCCTCTCCTTAGCAGTAGCCTAGGGGTTGTGTTTTCAGGATGTAGAACAGCTGACCATTTGCCTGGTCTGAGATCAGGAAGGAATTTCTCCCACTAGGGCCAAATGGCTGAAGTCCACCGCGTGTTTTCTTTTCCTTCGTCTTCCTTAGTGTCCTGGAGGGACAACTGGATTGAAAATAGTAGAATTTGCAAGTTTATATTAAGAAAGGTAAAACTGACACAGCTTGCAGCCGGTGTCCGGTATGGGTAAAAGGGTAATAGGGCGAGTAGCCAGAGGTAGATAAATCCCTGGATTTTGCTGGTGATGTTATGCTTATAGGATTTAAGGTCTTCACAGATGTGGCAAAGAGAGCTGACCCCTAGCAGTGGCAGGCCAATAAAGATGATTGGTTACATGTTTGGTGCCTTGAAACCTAACACTGGACCCCGTGTTAAATCCCTGGTAAATGGGAGCAGGGTGTAGATGGATGGCTGTCTTTCAGTGTTACATTAGTAAAATTGTGGTCTATTATTTAAATCACACCTGCATCTATTGTTCATTCTTCTGCATCTCCTGATCAATGACTACTGGCTATTGCTGACAGGGCTTGGGTATAGATTTATTTCTGCTATTGTTCAGTCATATTATGTCCTTTTCCCTTAACATTAAATCTTCAAGCAAGTTTTTCTGTCTTCTCTTTCTGTGACTGGTAGTTTGCTTATAGTAAGCAAATAAACATACATCAGTAGCTTCTGAATATTACATGTATTTCTCTTTTTCATGAATTTGCCAGGTGCAGAGTGTATGAATTGATATCAGTGGGAGTTGAGGGCCCTCAAGGGATCAGGCCTGAATTACGAAAAAACATTGAAGTTACTATAGAGTTTATATTTTTACTTTTCATGTATAGTGCCCTGTATACCTTCCCAGAAAAGCGCTACAATCTATTGAATATATCTATTTTTAATATAAAAACATTTTTAAAAATCCCTTGGGGTATATGTGAGCATATATTTAAATACATATAGAAAACCTCTGTTGTGAATCCGTGAATTTTCTTGCAAAACTGTCTAAAGTGTAATTCTATCAACCTTACTCAGGTAGAGTAGGATCTTGCTCATCAAATAGCCGTGTTGAAATCAACCAGACAACTCAAAGAGTAAGTTACTCGGTGTAAGAGTGGCAGATTCTGGCCCTTTGTGTGCTGTTTATTTTGATGGAAGAAATGGAATTTTTCTTGTAATGTTTGTGAAATGCAGGCTGGACGTAGATGGGCTTTTTCTAACGTTGCTTTCAGTTGTATTTTATTGGTGGATTTCTCTTTCCTTTCGCTGTGACCTGTGAATGTCAGAGTAGGCTCACTGCCAATTTTGTGATCTGCTGCCTGCTTCAAAATGGAGGCAGGAAGGTATCCATTTTCATCAAGATGATGACAGTGCTTCAGTCTTCCTGACCATCTGGAGAGAGGAACTTTTTAATCAGAAACAAAAAACTGAGGATTTAAACATATATAGCAAAATAAAATGCAAAGTTAAACTATACCTTATGAGTCCAGATTTTTTCTTTTATGTTGTCCCAGTCAAATTAAATGCAAACAAGAAAATACAAGAGCTATTTTTGTAAAAAGCACATTACAGAAATCTCTGGTGTATTAGTAAACAAATGTAAGTAAATTAGTTTTTTGGCACACATGCTAAGTTTGTTGCACACACAAATATAATAAGTACTAAAAAGAGTGTTTTTTTCCCCCCCTTCTGAGACACACACATGCTGTGTTGGTGGTCTTGTGTAGATCCAGGTTTTTTAGTACTCCTTTCAAGCTTCTCTGCAAGGAGCAAGTACCCTGGGAATTTAATATCCCAAGATATGTTTATAATTTTCAGTATTTTAGTTAGCACTGCTTTCTAAATTACATTTTTTTAGTTCAGGGAACAAATGTGACTTCTTGCACCGCCTTCATTTGCATCTCTAAAATTGTAAAATCATTGTACTTTCATATAATAAATCAATATTGTTTCATGTTTCAGTTATTCTATATATATATGTTAAACAGTGTATCAGCTGAAAGACATATTTTGGCAAAACCTTCACAAATATTCTTGAGTAAAGCTGGAAAATGTCATACCCGAGTTTCTTCTGAAGGTTACCATTTATTTTCCAGTCACACAAATGCTGAGGATTTTTGTATTCCGAGAAAAGTATTGTGTAGTGTTATAAACTGATTTAAACTGACTAAGGAAAAAAAAAACCCTCAATATTTCTTTCCTGCTTCTATTTTAAAGCAACATACCTTGAAATACTTCAGTCATTGCTAAAGGCATACTAAATTAGTCCTTTTTCCTCAGGTTTATGCCCCGTCAGCAAGCACTGCCGACTACAATAGGGATTCACCAGGTTATCCATCCTCAAAACCAGCAGCCAGCACTTTTCCTAGCTCCTTCTTCATGCAAGGTAGGATGTTGCTTTCAAAGAGAAATCTATTGTGCTTACATTTTCTGTATTCATATTTTGGCTTATACATATTAGAGACAGACTAGACTATCATCCTTTGCTCTGTTACATTATCATTAAAATGAAGACCTGCAAGTCTTCATTTGGCCATTATGGCTATGAACATCTTGTTTTGATCCTGTAATGAAATGGAATAATGAAAAAGATTAGCCAATTCTTATCATTTAAGTTACTTAGGCAACTCTTCAATGTGTTTGTATACATGCACATATATTATACTAAATGTGCACACAGCAGGTGAGTGTTCTTTGTGTATAAATGTGTGTGCACATGTGTGTGTATGAAAGAGTCTATAAAATGTAGAATATTTACAGTATGGAGCATGTGTACTTAATATACATTCATAGGCATTATATAGTATAAATTAATTAACTGCATAGGGTCTGTTATTTGAAAATGGGTTAGTAGATTTTATAGATTCACTGTCACTCATTTTTTCAAGTCTAATAGTGTATTTCTTCCACTTACTCATACTTAAATCCCATTAAAATAAAGTTCCAAGTAATTTATTAGTCAAAAGACCTAGACTTTTTGGAATTATCCCCAGACAAAAATGGGGTGTCTGCATTTTGCTCTATTTAGGACCATATTATTCACTTCTTAACATTTATGCATGAGTAGTCACATTTAATTGAATAGGATTACTTGGATATCTTCACCTAAGCACATTCAGAAGTGTTTGCAGGAACAAGGCTCAGATGTCCTCTACTTTGTCTTCCCCTGCCAAAAGAATAAAATTGATTCCCTCTTCTATCACCTTTCACCTTGGATTAGATGACCCTGGAGGTCTCTTCCCATTCTATGATTCAGTGAACCAGCGTGGCAGATAGAAACTACACATCTATACTTCGGTTTCCTTTGACTCATCAGACTAGCACCTCGGATAAAAATAAATCATTTCATGCTGAAATCTATAGTGTCTCCAAAGCACGCCTTCATATTACATATGAGGGATTTAATTGAGCATGCTCACATCTGGGATTTTGGCATGGCCCTACCATTATTTTTTATATTTAGTTCTGGCACAAGGAGGAAAGCTGGAGCTTGGCAGAGGATCTGTTTAGTATCACACCAGGAAATCAGGCAGTTAGGCCCCAGACTGATTGAGCTGCTGCATCAAGAGTAGGCAAAAACAGTCGGTTCCACCTGGCTTGGGTAACAGTTATTCATATGTTCAAAGGCTTGTCTGCTGTGCTCCATCACACCTGATTGTTAGAAGCAGCAAGCCATCACCTCATGGCTGTATCCTCTACCTCTTCACCTCGCTTCTGCCTTGCCACTCTGTAACCCCAGCAGATTTTAGGTTGTTTCCTTCATCAGCAGTAGTGTAATAATTCCTTATTACCACTCAAAATGGGCTATTAACGAGACAGTGGTCACGACTATACATGTGCTTTAATATGCAGTAGCCTATTTTACTGTGCATTAAAGGGCCACATAAAAAAGTACAATTATGATAATGCGCAGTAAAATAATCTGCTGCACATTAAGCATCACTTAAAAACCATGCATATCCGTTACTGTTCATGAAGGCAGCCTAATGGACATTTGTTTAGTACCTCACAAGGAAAGTACTAAATGTAATGTGCATTAGGAAAACTGCCTTAATGCACATGTAGACATGCTCAGTGATAGTAAAACATCATTACAGACAGTGCTTCTTTTGTCATGACCCTTGATATATCCTAACTGTGTCTTGAAGCTGGAAGGCAGTAGATAGTGAAAATGAAAAGTCCTAACAGCATTTAAAAAGAGTGAAACCAGTACATTTCTATGGACAGTAAGCCTATGTAGACTTTAATACAGAACATGAATCTTTTCTAATTTTTTAATGATCCTATTTGGTTTGTAAATTTCTACTGATATAGGATTCAGAGTACCTTTGGATAGTTTATTTGGCTTTAATTTTATGGGAGCATTCCATACTGAAAGGGAAAAAAAACCAGGTATATTGATTATTACTGTTTCCTTGCTAGGGCTAGGGACATACATTACACATAAACCGGTTTAAGTGATCAGAAACTGGTTTAAACCTGTAACAGAACAGATGTTCAGTTCACATAAAGCAGTTTGAAAATGGCTGAAACCGGTTTGAGATAAACCTGGTTGAATGTAGTATCAGACTTAACTGACTTGGCTCAAACTGGTTTATGCAATATCTGTCTCAGACCCCTTGCTAATTTAAAATAAATCAGACAACCCCAGCATCCTGGCATGCTCTCTGGGCTGGGCGGGGCTCTGTGCTCACCAGCAGGGCTGGCCCCGCCCCCCTGCTCTCTGGCTGGAGCTCGGCACAGACTTGCAGGCACAGACTTGCCTGGCTTCCCCCTGATAAGCAGGGATTATTCCCCTCTCCCTTCTGCCTTACACAGACACCTCAGCATTAGCTAGCAGACCACGTGCTGGCTACGGTCCGGTCTGTGCTGTGGGAAAGGACTGAAGCAGACAGGCTTTTTTGAGCTAATCAACAGGTAGCTTAATCTTCTTCCTTGGAAGAGCTGTATAAGAAGAGCTCCATTAGTTAATGGAGAGAGCCTTTGTTTTCTTAATGAGTTGATAAATACTGAGTTAAGGGTGACAAATATTCCCTGCTGGGCAGCTCAGGAGTGGAGGGAATAATAAGAGCATCCTGCCAGTGCCTGGCCCCGCCTCCCTCAGCTCAGCCCTGTGGAAGGGACAGGAGGGCTGCTCTAGTGCCCCCTGTCTTCTAGCCTGAGCCACTACAGGCATGTCCCTGCATTTCTCACATGTCTGTCTGGATTACAACCTGATTTAGTATAGCCAGGATAGACTAACCTGCAAGGATTGAATCAATTCAGGCTCAGGCTTTTTGAATGTCTGTCCCTAGCCTAAATCACTAGTTAAATGTAAGGAGAATAGCCACCCCTTTTAAGGACTTAGCTTCAGGTGTAAACTTCAGGTGTGAACTTTTCACATCTCAAGGGCAGCTTGTATTTTGTTATACCACAATAAAGTCACTCAGCAATGCAAATGATGTGCATGTTTGGTGCTGAATTATTAAAACCCTAGAAGAAGGTACAGTGTAGATAAGGCAACTCTAAAAACAAAAGGCTAAAAAAATTACAATGTTGCACCAGATCCAGTGTGTCCAGGATGCATTATTCAAAAATTGTTAGATCATTCCAAATTCAGTTTTAAACACTTAATTTTCTTTTGAAATGCATAGTTTGCTCCAACTGAAGTTTGTGGTAACTTGGGGTTTACATATTTAAATTTATGGTAAAACAGCAAGACCAGAACTACAGAGAATCTTAAAGTTATATAACTGGCTTGAAATAAGTGAAGATGATAGTACTATTTGCTATTGTTCCATTTGGCTTAATTTTTTATTTAAGAGCATGCTTTTATGTTACATTTGTGTAGCCCTTAGGACAGACAAGCAATATATAGCATCCATTTTATGGTTGCTGTCTTTTAATGTAAGCAATTAACCCAAACAAAAATACATTATATGCAGATCAAGCTCTGTTAGGCTAGTTATTTATAAGAAAACAAAGCTAAACTGTTTTATAACCAAGATTTAGAGCTTTCAGAAAAGCCACATTTTCTTTCTGCTTTACAGATGGTCATCACAGCAGTGACCCATGGAGCTCCTCCAGTGGGATGAATCAGCCTGGTTATGGAGGAATGTTGGGCAATTCTTCTCATATTCCACAGTCAAGTAGCTACTGCAGTCTGCATCCACATGACCGTTTGGTAAGAGATGCATGTGAGGGAACAAAGAAAGGAGCATGTATACATGCATGTGGAGAGAGGAAATATATAAGGCAGGAAGTGATACAGAGTTTTTATTGATTATGAGATAACTGTTATAACCAGGGATCCTGGTTTTCCCTTATAACAAATTGCAAATGTTCTGCTAAAAAACACAAATTCTCTAATAAAAAACCCCAGATCTGTGGTTAAAATTAAAGGCCCCCCACAGCCCCACCTCTGTGGCCCTGCTCATGCCTCTCATTCCCTCCCCCCAACATCCATGCCCCCCAGATACGTACGTGGGGCAGGCGCAGGCTGCAGGCATGGGCTCCCACCTTGCTTCCCTCCCCCCATGGCCTCCACAGACCAGCAGGCATGACCCGGTGTGGCAGGGAACAGCTGGGCGACGCAGGGATCTCCTCGCTGCTGTGAGCTCCCTGCTGCCCTGGCAACATGCCTCCTGTGCATGCCGCTGCTTTGAGGGGATCAGCTCTGCATGCAGGGGGGTCATCACCAGAGCAATGTGGATCTCATAGCAGTGAGCAGCTTTTCTGCACGGCTCCTCTGCTCCCTGCTGCGCCAGGTCCCAGAGGCCCCAGGGGAGGGAATCAGGGTAGAGTTCGCAACGGCAAGCAGCTTCTCGGTGCAGGCCCGCTGCTCTCTGCCACCCTGCATCCCTCCCCAGGGATGGTGGGCACAACCCGATGCGGCAGGGAACAGAGGGGCCATATGGAGAAGCTGCTCGCCGTTGTGAGCTCCGCACCTCCTGCACACAGTGCTGAGGCCCTCAAAGCAGCAGCACATGCAAAGGGTGCCTCACCAGGACAGCATGCAGATCCCCGCATGGCTCAGCTGTTCCCTGCTACACCAGGTCATGCCTGCTGGGCTTCAGAGGCCTTGGGGGAGGGAAGCAGGGCAGGAGTCTGCAGCCTGCACCTGCCCCACCTACAGATCTTGGGGGGAGTCTCCCCTGCTTCCCGGGAGTGTGCGCAGCAATGGGGAACCGGCCCTCTCCCTCCTGCAGATGAGCCACCCATGGCCCCATCCTGCTCCCCGCGGGGGCCCTGCAGCCACACATTGCAGCCCCGGGCTCCAAACACGACCCAGCTCAATCCCCCTCTTCCCCCCACTTACCTGCTGGAGCTGCTCTGCAGGCTGCCTGTCTCACCGCCTTCCTCCCGCTTGCTCCCAGCTCCCTGTAGGTTGGAACTGTGCCAGCCTGCAGGGAGCTCATTGCAAAATTGCAAAATCTGCACGTTTCTCTGATAAAACAAGAAATCCATGTTTCCCTCTGGTAAAAGGCAAAATCCGTGGTTTACTCCATTTTTCCAGAAACAAAACCCCAGATCCCTGGTTATAACTCTATAAGGCTGAGGGAGGATCTAGTGGCCTGTTACAAACTAGTCAGAGGGGACCAGCAGGCATTGGGGGAGTCCCCATTCCCCCAAGCACTACCAACAGTGACTAGAAATAATGGTCACAAGCTGGCAGAGGGTAGATTCAGACTAGACATCAGGAGGCGCTACTTCACAGGAAGGGCGGCTAGGATCTGGAACCAACTTCCAAGAGAAGTGGTGCTGGCTCCTACCCTGGGGGTCTTTAGGAGGAGGCTGGATGAACACCTTGCCGGGGTCATTTAACCCCAGTGCTCTTTCCTGCCATGGCAGGGGGTCAGACTTGATGATCTGTCAAGGGCCCTTCCAACCCTACAAACTATGAAACTCAGTCACGGACTGGTTACATGTGAATAAAATGGGCATCCCATACTCAGGGCACTAAGCAGTCTTTATTACACCCTCGTGTATTCTATATATATCACATATTTTACAAAGTAAGCTTCCAAAAAAACAGTAGGAAACTTTTTTTAAAATATTTTATTATGAGTGAATTGCACCTTTCTCCTGTAAAGCTAGTTTCCTTAGTTTCCATGGCCTAAAATCAACTCTGTCTTTAGATGGGTAAATAGTTTGTATGGCCACTTACAAGTATTTTAGGTCATATGAGGATTTTAAATCATACCTCCCCTCTCCTTGTGCCCCTGCCCCATCCCTGCTCTCCCCACCAACAGGAAATCTTTTCAAAGCCTTCTCGAGCAGAACAGGTTTGCAAAAGAGTGAAAGTGGTAATAGTAGCATGCTCAGGAAAGTAAGGTGAGCTGTTTAAGAGGGCGTGGAATCTATATTCTGTGTAAGTGACCTGAAATGTCTCTTACATGGTAACTTTAGCCACATATATGCTACTTACCTATCTAGAAGAGTCATATAAAATAGGGCTGGAAGGAAACTCAGGTCATCAAGAGCCACCCTTCAGCTCAAGGCAGGACCATCCCTATCCCAAACCATCCTAAGAAGTGCTTGTTTAATCTATTTCTGAAACTACACAAACCACCCTGGTTCCACAGCTACACGACACAATGCCACAACGCTCCCAGCAGGAGGACTAGGACACCCTGGAACTGTAATTGGAGTGTTGGTTTGCTAGGGCTAATTCAGTCAATGGTATTTAACTAGGGCAAGCTGAGACCTTGTATGGGCACAAACTTAAGAGTATTTTCCTAATATCACCATTAAATTGAGGCAGTACCAATAAAATAGGATTGTGCCAATTCCCATTGCGTTAGAAACTAAAAAAGATATATTTAGGCAAAGAAAAAGGAGCAAGCTGATAAAAGGAGAAGGGGTTTTACTATCTCCAACATATACACTTTTATAATTGTGGGAGACAGAGGGCGTGTCTACACCCAACACTAAATGCACAGTAAACTAATTTTACTAAGTATTAGTGCATCATGGCAAAAGCCATGCTATTGCACTATGCGCAGTAGAATTAGTTTACTGCACATTAGCATCACTTAAGAAGTATGCACTGGTGCTACTGCACAGTAGCGCTGGTTGCTGTGTATTTAGGTAGTACCTGATATTTTATAAGTACTAAACTTAATGCTCAATAACCACAGCACATTAATGCACACATAGACATACCCAGAGAATCCTTTTTTCTTGCTCTTTTAGTGCAACTCCATCATAATCTCTGTTTATGTTTCATTTTTTAGAGACTAGGGAAAAGGAGCAGTAGGCAGAGGGGAGAAAAGGGTTGCTCATTTGGGGCTGAATTTTGGAAGAGTTTGTCTCTCCATAAAATTAAATATGGGTTTCATTTTAAAGTAAAAAGTTTATGAATTTAGTTTTGTGATTTGAAAAAATAGTTCAAGAAGTTCAAGATCTCAAATCCCACAGGGTCAATAAATAACTAAGTTAAAGTTAAAAAAGAAATTAAAATTTGATACATCAAATAGTTGATAAGCCACGTTTATATAATATGTCCAAGGGCATAAGGACACAAAACAACCTTAACTCCACCATATAGTAAAGGAATAAGAGGAAAAAATGAACCTGTCTTTTAAAAAAAAGTTTTTTCTAATTAGTCAGAATTATTTGCTTTTTGCATGATGTCAGTACAAGACAGAATTAAGGTTGTCCAAGTGCCTTCATTATCCATTTTTGTTATTTAATTATAGGGGCATTCAGTCTTAACTCCTAGACAGTGAGTGTGTGTACACATTCATTAATGCACTTTTGTTACTGTGCATTAAATTTGGTACCTCTAATGTGAGGTACTAACTAGATGCTCATTAGGCTGCTCTAATGCACAGTAGCAAAAGCGCACTGTTTTTTAGTGACATTTAATTCACAGTAGCCTACTTTTACTGTGCATTAGCATATTAGCATGGTTTTTGCTGTGACACTCTAATGAGTGGTAAACTAGGCTACTGCACATTAAAGCACACGTGTAGACACACCCAGTATAATTCTTGTCTAGGAATAATTATTTAACCTAATTTTTAGAGGCAGTGAGAACCTGTTGACCTCAGTGCGAATTGCGAGCTCTCAACGCCTCTGAATATCAGGTTCAGATTATCTATTTTTTCCAGTTAGACTAATTAACATCAGATAGCATGGAGTGGGAGGAGAAAGTAGTATTTTAATTGCTTCCCTACCTCATTTGTACTGGGGCTGCACTGGGAAGTCTTTGGTTTTAGCGCAACAAGAAACTGAAGGAAGTTTCAATGTCTTTGATTCAACTGGAACTGCTGCAGAGCTAAATACAGCCCCCCAAAAAGGGTTGTTTATTACTCTTATTTTCTAAGGGATTATAGTAATGTTTAAGTTGCTTATAATATTAAGTACAATTTCTGTCCAACTATAATTTATGGCAGATGCTGTGTTTCTCCTGATAAGTTTGGCGGTAGCCCTTTTATTCCTTCCCTTGAGAAATGAGAAATTCTTAGTTGCTGATCATGAAGCAATTTGTTTGTGTGTCATGGAACAGAAGTCAAGCAGTGGTGATATCACTTACAGTTAGACTGTCAACTTAAACAATTATTGTTTACTTGTTTTGAACCATATGACAAATCCTCTTCACCCACATGATTTTAGCCAATTAGATTGTTAACTGTAATGCTGAAGTGGCTTGTGAGTCAAAGCCTGAATCTTTATTCACACTTTAATTAGGCTTGATGGCTGGCTTTGGTGGAGAAAGAATATAGGTTTTACCTGTATAATCTATATAATTATATTATATACTCACATGCTTTGAGGTAACTTTAAAATAAGAGGTAACCATATTTAATGTCATAATTAAATATGAAAAGTATTGTAAGAGTAGTAGAATAATAAATGTTAAGAAAGCAACAACGTCATAGTGGAGATTCTCTGTTTAGAGCAAGCCTGTGGTTGGCACTGTACTACATGATGTAGAAAAAAGTGATTACTTTAAGCTAACTTTATATTGGCAACATGGCAGAGCAGTTAATGTATTCTGGAACAGTGAGTTCAAGCTCTGCTCCGGATCCATGCCAAAGGCCATTCCCAGTTGACCTAACTGTAAATCAGCACCTGAGAGTCAAAGTCTACCAGTCATGGTGGCCATTGTTTTGTGTGCTGTTTGCTAAGAAACTAAAATGTCTTACATACAGTAAACCAGTGGGTCATTTAGTTTGGATTGACGTACCTTCCTGTATTGTTGCCCTGTTATTGTTGTTTTAGTTTGCTCCTAGTCTCAATGTCCTATAACAATGGACGGCAATCACAAAGGCATAGCTGTCCTCTAAACATTCTCTTAGGAATATCCCCTTTCCTGGGGGCTAAAACATGAGGATGCTCTATGGCAGTGATTCTCAGCTGGGGTGTTGAGGCACCCTGGACTGTTATGAGATCTTTTGATGGGTGCCACAATGTTTGAGGAGATAAGCAGGTGTGAAGAGATAAGTGCAGGCTTATCTCTGCCTGACCACTGCCCTCCCCCCATGGCCCAGCCCCTCTGCAAGCAGGTAAGAACTGTAACAAATATATTAGTTCTTGAAATGAGGTGCTACTCAATCACAAAAAGTTATGGAAGGGTGCTTTGAGTCAAAAAAGGGGTGCTTCAAGTCCAAAAATTTTGCGAACCATGGTGCTGGGGCTTACCTGCACAAATAAGTTATACTGATGTAACTAAAAGTAAAATGTTGCATGAAGAAAAAATCTGGACACAAACTGTTTTAAGCTAGTTTGAAATGAAACAAGAGGATTCAGAAATGAAGTTGTGTGTGAAGTTTAAGTAAATCAATGCAATGTCACAATTTGAAGAAATTCAACCCTGTGTACAGATGAGGCCAGAAAGCTGCTCATGACATTGATGCACCACCCACTTTACACTTTCTTGGAGACCTTAATACACCAGCTTTACATTGCAGCACAAAACAACCATAGTGGGTCAAAGAATTTGGCCCATTAGATCAACTAGTTTGTTTCTGTGCCAGCTTGTTTCCTTACAGTACATTTTCTAGTGCCTTGTCAGGTCTAGTTTTAAATGTCACAAGTAACATGTTTTCACCACCTCCCTCGGGAGACTATTCCTCCAACTAATAGCTATCACTGTCACAAAGGTTTTCTGATATGTAGCATACATTTTCTTTCTCAATTTCCTCCCATTACTTCTGCACTAGCAGCAGTTATGAACCTACATATTCATACCCATCAAATATTTGTAGACGGATATACTTGTATATCCTTCTGAAGCTGTCAAATATGAGTAGAAAAATTTAATCATGTCTTTGTCTTGTGACAACAAGAAAGACCTGTTCTCTCCTTTGGGTGAAATGGTGTAGCAACTCAGAATGAACCATCCTATGCTTTTTCATGTTTCATTATTTTAAATGTTCTACTTTTATTCTGTCTTCCACAGAGCTACCCATCACACTCTTCAGCAGACATCAATTCCAGTCTTCCTCCAATGTCCACTTTCCACCGTAGTGGTACAAATCATTACAGCGCTTCTTCCTGCACACCACCTGCTAATGGGACAGATAGTATAATGGGTGAGTTGGAGAAAAATCTCCATGCTAATGAGTACAATAGCACTTTTATTCCATGACATGTCCAGACATCTCATGTACTTCAGCATAATATACCGCCACTGACTGAATGTAGAGAGCAGGAATAGTTATTTTTATAACATACTGTACCTTCTTATATACAACACGCACCTATTTTTCAAAAATCAGCTGCTGAAAATCAGGATGCACATTTTAAGCAAGGAAATTAAAGCTGCTGGTGTCATCAGCTTCTGCTACACAAGTCTCTGCTTGCTGAGGGGAAGAGAAAGTAATTCTGCACATGCTACATGGAGGGCTCCTTAGCTACTGGCTGTGGACACTTTCTCTTGACAGAGGCTTACTCTGTGGAAGTTGGCAGGCACTTCCGGCTGCCCACACAGCTCAGCTCAAAAGATAAGAGCGGGTGGGCATTTTGACTCAGTCAGCACACTTAGTGTCCTGTCACTAAGGGGTTAACAGAGCAGGCAGTGTTTTTCTCCCCCACAACTGCAGCTGCCTGTGTTTTCCCTGGGTAATTACAATACCAGGATTTTCAAAGAAAGATTCTTTCATAGATTTCATAGATATTCGGGCTGGAGGGAACCTCGCAGGATCATTGAGTTCAGCCTGCTGCCCAAGGGGCAGAAAGTCTGCTGGGGTCAAATGATCCAAACAAGATAAGCATCCAAATGTATCTTAAAGGTGTCCAGATAGGTGCTTGCACCACTTCTGGGGGGAGCCTATTCCAGACTCTGGGGACTCGGACAGTAAAGAAGATGGTAAAAAACACTTCCTGGGTCTTGCTTAAGATGCTTCGATAGATGTAAGCCAGGGTTTTGATTGCTTTCCTGGCTATGGCATCACATTGGTGGCTTATGTTCATCTTGTGGTCAATTATGACCCCCAAGTCTCTTTCGGTCATGGTGCTAGTGAGTGTAGTACTGCCAAGCCTATAAGTGTGATGTGGATTTTTTTCCCTGAGGTGGAGCACCTTGCATTTATCTGTGTTGAATGTCATCAGGTTTTGATCTGCCCACTTTGTGAGCCTGTCCAGGTCAGCCTGAATCACCAGCCTATCAAGTGTGACCACACTTCCCCATAGTTTGATGTTACCAATGAATTTAGCCAGTCTGCTTCTTTTTCTTCATTCTGTCTTTTCAAGCAAGGGCTAAGTACAGACAGTCAAAAGGCCTGAAAATGAATCAATTCAATCTTTGCAGGTTAGTCTAAGCTGTATAGATTGAACCCATAAGCAAGTGACTAGACATTCACTTTAGATCTCAGAAATGCCACCTGCAATAGCCCAGGCCAGAAGCTGGGAGGCACTAGAGCACACCTCCATGAGAGGTGTGCTTGGAGAGCTTGGGCGAAAGCTAGCCAGCCACTTTGCAAAGTGGCGGGGGGGGCGCGGGGGGGGGTAGGGGGAGGGCTGGGATGCTGGGAGATCATGAGTTAACTTGAATCTGAAGGGGATCTGGGACAGAAGTTTTAACCTAAATCAGTTTAGTCTGATACTACATCCATCCAGGCTTATTTTAAACCAGTTTCAGCCATTTTGAAAGTGGTTTATGTGCACTGAACTTTTGTTGTGTTACAGACTTGAACTGGTTTCGAATCACTTATACCAGTTTATGTATAATCTGTCCCTAGCCAAAGTGCCTATTTTTATTCAGGGGTTTGTTGTATGCAAGGAATATGGTATCGGGTAGGATAAACTAAAAGTTTCCTTGCTCCCAGTGTGTTTCCTGAAAGATTATAAATGATATCAAAATGTGCTTGAAATGCTTAGTTCATAGCTTTTAATACTTAACTTTAGAAATGTGGCATTTTGACCAAAGTGGTTTACTGAGTTAATGTTTATATGGAAAACAATCTACAAAAATAAATACATGATACTGTTGATTTTGAAATCAAGTTTATTGTATTCAGCTCCTGTTTTAATTGTCTGCAGTTCCTAGTGAACTGATACTTCACTCAGCTATCTCAACATTCATCAGTTTTTTATTTGCTTTCTACCCAAATCAGTGATGGCATCATATCTATGTAGCAAGAAGAGAACCTTCTTTTCTGATGTTACTGGTATTTTTTCTAACAACCTCTGTAAATTAATAGCATACATCTATATACTTTCTTAAATATTTGGCATATACCAGTTGAGACATAAATACAGGAAGTAAAAAAATATTGCATTGCCTGTATCTCAAAGAACAAATGAAGCTAATTAAATAATTGGTAAATAAGGAACACATACTTTGACACATGTTTCAGATTACTCACATGATTCTGTATAAAATGACTGTAAGCAGGACTAATGTAGTAAGAATGGAGGGTGGGTTCAAACATTAACACATGGGCATAATATTTTTGAGGTCTCTGAACAAAGAAGAAACTCAATACAGTCTCTTCTTAATTTGTCACTGTCTGTGAAAAATGTATCCCATTACAGTATAGGATTTCAGTGCTCAATCTTGTCATTCCTTTGAGACTTCTTCCCTTACAATGTTTCTTGCTCTGTGCGCATAACACAAAAATCACTATCTGTTAAAAAAGTCTGATAGTGCCAGATTTAATTGATCCACTTTCTAGGTCAATATAAGAAATAGCCTTTAAGATAAAACTTGTAAGGAATGGAATATGAACATATTCTATATTGAATCCTGTTTTCAGATCCTAAAAAGAGAATTTCTGAATTAACCATCTGTATTTTTGGAGTAGACTTCTCCAAAATGAAAATTTTCAACTAGAATTTTTGTTGAAAATTCAGTACTTGACTGGAGCCCAGAAAATATACCAGAAAGTTGTTCTGATTTTTTAATCAGCTGGACTTGTTCTACCGCTAAAACTTTTGGACTACCCAGATCCTAAGAATTGTGTGATGTTTAATATCCACTTAATGTTTGAGTGTCTCTAAAAAATTATTGAGACAACCACAATAGTAATGTGTGAATCACCCCCTTTTTGGTTGTATGTTCCATATATCTATGATAGACATCTTGTAATGAATACTCTTTATCAAGTTAAGATCAGCTGCATTCACTCTAAATAGCATCACAAGAAGACTTTGAATACCATAAATTTGAACAGCATACAAACAGGTAGAAAAAATCTGTGAATGGAATACATCACAACTGTAACTAGAAGCAGTGCTTAATCTTATGCATAGTAAGACAAAGACATAATAAGACCGAATTGTCATAGAGCTTTCAAATCCAAAGCTATACAGTGTTTAAACAACCAGTTATTAAGATAGATTTAATATAGCATGGCCTTATGATTATTTCAGAATATTTATCAGGTACGTGTATTAATCCTGCTTGCTATTTTCATTTCTAATGACATGTTTGTATGACATGATGCATTGTGATATGTAGCTTTTCTTGTAGAAACATAATGTGCATTTCCCCTTGAGGCCTTGGTTTCACAGCAATTTTATTATTAGAGCAGTCGCATAATACTACACTTTATTTTTTACAAGAATGTTAAGCTTCAAGATTCAGCAGGGTGATAAAGTGTCACATTGCTTAAGAGGAATATGAATTTTATCCAACAGTGTCACTACATCACAGTTTGGAAAGATCACCGTCTATGAATAGCAAGACAATCCAAGTTTTCCCTTCATTTCTTAAACAAAGACAAAACTTCCATTCTACCTTCAGAGATTCTGGGAGGCTGAAGATATTTTTGCATGCTCCCCCTTACCCTCCCAATAAAGGGCTGCTGCCCCTCTTGCCCCCTCCCAGTTGTGCTACTGATGTTATGTGTTCCTTCCTCAGCACTGGGTGTTGTGGCACCAGACACTGCAGCCCCCAAAGGGTTTATGGTACTCACTAACCTACCCATTAGCCTGGTACCACTCTTCCTTCAGTGTGTAACAGATGTAGTTTCAATATATCCATTGAACTCACTGAACTCCATCGGAGCTTACTGAGCATAGGTGAGAGTGAGTTCCCATCAGTTTTTCTGTTATCCTACCCGGAGTATATGAAAGTTCTCTCTTCTTGTCTCAACTTTCTGCTGAAGTAACACCGTAGGATTACTCAGATAATATATCAAAAGGAGCACCCTTCAAGAAGTGACAGTTATGGTACCTTTACTAGCTCAGGTCATACAGTTTCCCCTTAGGTACATTCTCTTATCCTAGGAAGCCTGACAGTATACCACTCCAGAAAATTGAGGAAAAACTACCCACATTGCTAGATATCCTCCATAGAACTTCAGTGAAAAAGATTAGCATGGCTGTCAATGAAGACCTATTTAAACCCACTTGATTGATCTAGCACTCCTCTCCAGCTTCAGAGGGAGAGATGGGAAGTACTAATATTCTTCTGTATAGTGCAGAAAAAGGACTCTCCAGCCCTGCAACACAGGCAAAGCACCAGGGAGAAGCATTGCCAGAACTGGTCAGATCAGAAGTTCAATGTGTCAGATCCAGTAACTCCATGGACCAATGTAAGGATTAGGCTGTAAGCAGTGTTAAGAAGTGTGGGGTCCAAGTCATGTTCCCAGTCCACAGCAATATCTATGTCTGCTGTTGAGGCCAGGCTAGGTCAGGAGCCAGGGAGTCCAGAGCACTCAAGAAGGTAAGCGGGAACAAAGAACTGGGGTCCAAGGCAGGTGCAAGACAGGACCACAGCGCAAGGGTCCAAGGCTGGGGATAAAGCTAGGAGCGTCTGCAGAGTGTGAGATATTGAGCAGCAAAAGCCCAAATGAAAGGCCTGGGTTTTATGTCGTAAGCTCAGCTTATCCTGAAGACAGTTAGTTTAACTCTTGCAGCTGGTGCTACTTGGATACTAGGTGGCACTACTGAAGGTGCAGATTGCATTCTAACAGCTGGATATGTTTCTGGCCCCTGGGATAGTCTATCCACTATCATGGGCAGGCTGCCTAAAGAACACCTGGAGGAATGAAGACGGTTTTGGCAGAAATCCACCTAACAGGATGAAGACTGTGTGGACCAGTGGGTCTTCAAAGTAATGTTCCAAGGGTTTTCCATCCAATTTTAC